TTCACAGATGCTGCTGGACCTGCTGAGCTTTTCCAGCAACTTTGTTTTTGTTCCTGATTTATAGCATCCGCAGTTCTTTCAGTTTTTAAACATTAATATGTTTCACTTACGGTTAACTTTTGATTTGAAACTTAAGGCAATTTGAATGTAATAAGTTAGCTGTTTGGCATACTCTGTCAGAAGCATAAGAAAGCAATTTGCACTTTCTTACATCACAGAAACATGGAATAATGTTCAGTAACAGACACTTCTGGAGAAACTCAGCATGTCTGGCAGCATCTGTGGAGAGAGTGACAGAGTTAACTTTTCAAGTCCAGTCTGACTCTTCTTCCATTATTCTCAGTATTTTGCTTTTATTTGAATAATTTTCTGTGTCTCTTACTGAGACCAGCATATGCCAATAGTTTTGTTACGTAAATTATCACATTTCTGTTTCAAAATGTTCAGATGTCCCCTGGTTACCTTGTTAGAACAAAGAGAACAAAGAAAATTACAGCACAGGAACAGGCCCTTCGGTCCTCCAAGCCTGCGCCAATCCAGATCCTCTATCTAAACCTGTCGCCTATTTTCCAAGGATCTGTATCCCTCTGCTCCCTGCCTGTTCAGGTATCTGTCTAGATACATCTTAAATGATGCTATCGTGCCTGCCTCTACCACCTGCGCTGGCAACGCGTTCCAGGCACCCACCACCCTCTGCATAAAGAACTTTCCACGCATATCTCCCTTAAACTTTTCCCCTCTCACCTTGAAATCGTGACCCCTAGTAATTGAGTCCCCCACTCTTGGAAAAAGCTTCTTGCTATCCACCCTGTCTATACCTCTCATGATTTTGTAGACCTTAATCAGGTCCCCCCTCAACCTCCGTCTTTCTAATGTAAATAATCCTAATCTACTCAACCTCTCTTCATAGCCAGCGCCCTCCATACCAGGCAACATCCTGGTGAACCCCTCTGCACCCTCTCCAAAGCATCCACATCCTTTTGGTAATGTGGCGACCAGAACTGTACGCAGTATTCCAAACTGGTCGAACCAAAGTCCTGTACAACTGTTATGGTAAGGAGAAGCGAAGTAATATTGATCATAAGGTCCCATGTTCACACCCTAGTCTTTCTTGAATTAGTTGAGTTCACCTGGAAAGTGGTGGTGGTAGTACAACTAACCTCACCGTGAAAGTGGGTGTAAAAAAAATTCTAGGGTGAATAGAAAGCAGCTGTCCCACTCAGTTGAAGGATCAGTAACAAGGGGGCATAATTTTATAGTGAAAGACAGGAGATTTAGAAAGGGTTGGACGGAAATCTTTTTCACCGAGAGAGCGGTGGGTGTCTGGACTGCACTGCCTGGGAACGTAGTTGTGAGTGGTAACCTCACAACTATTAGGAAGTACTTAGATGAGCATTTTAAATGCCATAACATTTAAGGCTACGGGCCTAGTGGTGGAAGATGGGACTAGCCTGGATTTAGTGCCAGTTTAGCAGTATAGACTTGATGGGCTCAATGGCCTCTTTGGTATTGTATGATTCAGTATTGTTGAAGACAGAACAGAGTTCCAGCTTATGGGTGTGGCTTACCTTGAGGAGTTTGAATTGGGAGGCTGGAACGATGAATGCTTTAATCTGTTTCTTTGTACAGATACTGCAACTGAAACAAAAAAAGTCTTCTGTCAGAATAAAAGAAGTTTCACAGAATCACAGAAGTGTTACAGTGCAAAAGGAGGCCATTTGACCCATCATGTCTGCATCGATTTGTTAAAAGAGCATCATTAGCTTTTATTGATATCCTCCTTTTTTTCCCCGTAACTTTACAAATTATTTTTCTCCAAATAACCATTCAATGCCCTCTTCAGTGCCACAATTGAACCTGCCTGCACTAGACTTCTGGAATGTGCATTTCATTACATCTCTACTCAGTGAGAGGAAAAGCTTTAAATTTATGCCCTCTTGATCCTTTTCTTCCTATCCAGCCCACTCATGATATTGAAACCCTCTATCAGATCTCATCTTAGCCACCTTCTCTCCAAGAGCAGTCCCAACTTCTTAAATCTATCCTCATTACTGAAGTTCCTTATCCCTGGAGCCATTCTTGTAAATCACTTCTGCACTCTCTCCAATGCATTCACATCTTCCTATACAGTAGCACTTAGAGCTGTACACTATGCTCCAGCTGAGGTCTCACAAGCCTCTGGTACGAGTTCAACATAACGTCCTTGCTGGGAACCCAGAGGGCTTGGCTGGCAGACTGTGGCCCAGTGTGGTCAGCATGTCATGGATCTTGAGCATTGCAGGGAGAGTGAGACCATGTGTGGAAAACCCATAGGATGGAGCTGCTACAGGCTATACAGGGACAGTAACATTTATCTTCAAACTTTATTTCTCTATCTTCCTAATTTATATTATGAAGAACTGTAATGTCGAACTTTTAGCTTTTCTCTTAATTTTTCTATTTTTGTACCTCATCTACTTTAGTACCTAAGATTTGTATCTTGGTGTTTTGTACCTAAAATGGCCTTGTGTGGCAACATTGTACACATTTCACTGTACTCCTGTACTTAGTACTTGAGTACACGTGACAATAAACCTAATTGTAATTCTACTGTACACCCCTATCAATAAAACCAAGAATACCACCTGCTTTACTTGCTCCTCTCTCCACCTGTCCTGACACTTTTAATAATCTGTGCACATATACACCCAAGTCCCTCTGCCCATGCACCCTCTTTAGAATTGTATCCACTATTATATTGTCTTTCAATATTCTTCCTACCAAAATGCATCATCTCACACTTGCCTGCATGGAAACTCATATGCCACCTATCTGCCAACTCCACCAATTTGTCTGTCATTCTGGAGTTCTGTCCTCACAGTTACAATTCTTCCAAGTTCTGTGTTATCTGCAAATTTTGAAATTATCCCCTGCACACCAAGATGTATGTCATTAACATATATATCAGGAAAACTAAAGATCCCAATATGGACCCCTGGGAAACTTCCTCCAGTCCAAAAACTATCCATTGATTATTATTGTTTCCTATCACTCAGCCAATTTTGTATTACGTTGTTACTGACCATTTTATACTGTAACCTATGACTTTCCTCACAAGTCTGTTGTATGGTACTGTATTAGACACCTCCTGAAAATCCATGTACACCTCATCAGTAGAGTTAACTTCATCAACCTTTTCTGTTCCCTCTTCAAAAACTCCAGCAAGTTAGTTTAAATATGATTCCCCTTTTAGAAATCAATGCTGATTCTTCCTAATCAACCTGCTTTTTTTCCCATGTGACTATAAATTCTATCCCAAATAACTGATTCTAGAAGTTTCCTGATTATTCAAATTAAACTGACTGGTCTGGAATTGCTAGAATGATCCTTACAACCTTTCTTGAACAAGGCTACACTGTTTGCAATTTTCAAATCTTCTGGCACCTCCACTGAGTCTAGGAAAGTTTGAGGCCAGTGCTCTTGCAATTTCCACTCTCACTACCTTCAAAATCCTTGGATACTTCTCATCCAGTCTCAGTGCCTTGTCAACTTTAAGTACCACAGTCTATCCAACACTTCTGTCTTGTCAGTTTTGAGCTGCTCTTGGAACGGAGTTCCCTCCTTTGTCACCGTGCCCTGGGTAGCAGCACTCTCTCTAAAGACAGATGCAACCATTTTATTTAACACCTCAGCCATGGCTCCTGCCTCCAGGTGTAGATCCACTTTTTGATCCTCAACAGGCCCTAATTCTCCTTTTACTCTTCTGCCATGTATCTTGTTATTTAGTGGTTCTCTTTATTTACTCTGGGCTAACCAGTATTTTGTGAAAGGCAAGATATAGCCTCCTCCTCCATACTCTTCCTCCATTAATGTAGGAAAGGATCCTGTATTGCTGGTAAACTATTGTAGGAATGGGTTTGGAATTTCAATGACAGTTCTGCACGACGTGATGTACTAAGTGGTTCCACCTGTATAATGTCAAACAAAAGTGTCATCAGATCTTTGTCTCTGGACTCGAAGCTTTAACTCTGTTTTTCTCTCTACAGATGCTGCCAGACCAGCTGAGTTTCTCCAGCACTTTCTGTTTTTGCACCACCCCCACTGAAGCTCCGAATGGCTTTGGATGTGAACTGGACATTGACAATGCGCGTCCACCAAGCCACCCAGCTGTCGCTCCACCATTCAGCACATTCTCAAGTCTACTTACCTCAGCAGAGCAGTCTCTCCTCTGCCAACTACTGAAAACTCTACTCCTGATGGGGGAGACCTATACCTATTGTCGGAGGTGACCACGTCCTAAACCTTGGTCAGGTCATGGTATGAGGCAGGAAACCCCTGTAAAGTTATGTAGACTAAAGTGATCCACAAATAGGAGTTGCATGTCATAATTGAGGCCATGTGCCAGATGGAAGAAGTTTGTCCTCGGGGCGTACATTGAGCTCCTGCAAGACAGCAAAGTTGTCACTGCAGGACAGAAGACAGAAAGTCACTATCTGGGTATGGAAGCATACTAGCACATGACATCCCTCCCTGAGCCAGAGACCCAGTACCTTAGCATCTTCTGAATATTTGGAACAATCTCCAGGGAAGGAATCAAAGTAACCAACTGGTACCACAACATGGCACCAATCAGTTGATTTATGACCAGCACTCGACCCCTGTAGGAATGCTCTTGCAGTAGGCCTGTCAGCATCTTGGGTGAGTTTTGACTGTCACCTCCAGCTCCACAGCCACAAGGCAGGCATCTCCTCCATTATACAACATTCCTCCAGAGCCCACACACATTCACGTCCCACAACATCCCAGAACATTTTGTGGAACTCTGCAGTCCGGCTGTTCAGTCCCAGGATTTGCCCTTTGAGAGCTGGTCAAGGTCTAGTAAGCTTCTCCATGCTCATGGGGGCATCTAGTAATCTGGCATCTTCCCAGGGCCAGGTCCTTCTATTGGACTCTGCAAGCATTCTCACTAAATGGATCCAGAGAGAACAGAGCAGCATAATAGGCTCTTCTTTGAGCCTTGATGTTCTCCAGATCCAAGACAAGGGATCCGTTATAAGCCAGCAGCAAAAAGACTGCAAACAGACCGCATGCCTTTTTTCTAGCAAGTATAAGGGGGAGCCACAGTTCAGATCTACGTAATGTTAAATATAATATTTAATAGTATATACACAGTGTAGGCTTCCATTTCTAGGGTTGTTGCTCCAATTTCCATGCATGTGGCTGCATCCAGAAGTGATGGTCTCAGCACTGATCCTCTAGGATGAGATTAATCATGGTGAGTGGCTAGATGAGGGAATTCACAGGATGAGGGAATTGCTGGCCAGGCAGCATTTATTGCCATGCAGAAAATTTGCCAGAATATCACAAGGAGTAGGAGCAGAGCATCAGGCAGTGCTGGCAACCAGGGCCAGGATGATAGAGAGCATAGGTGTGTAATTGTACATATTACATGCTGTGCAGCAATCTGAAGAGGTCTGACAGGCAATGTTGGTACAGCTTAGGATGTCATGGGGTGTGGTAGCTCATATATACCAGCTGCTCCATGTCAACATGTGTCTGCTAGAACTGGGAGGTAATCTGATGCTGATAGTACTAAAAGTGACAGCAGCATCAAACTCCTTTGCCAGTGGCCCTTTCCAGAGATCCACTGGAGGCATGTGCAGGATATTTCAGTGTGCCATGCTAAAATGTATACAAGACATGACAGATGCTCTTTTCAGAAGAGCAAATAATTTTGTAAAAACTGAAAGAACTTCGGATGCTGTAAATCAGGAACAAAAACAGAAGTTGCTGGAAAAGCTCAGCAGGTCTGGCAGCATCTGTGAAGAAAGATCAGAGTCAACATTTCAGGTCCGGTGACCCTACCTCAGAAGGGTTTGTAAGTAATTTTGTAAGTTCAGTACAGACCTCGAGAGCCAGGCAGATGGAGCAATGGTATTTTCTGCAATTGCAGAATTTCAACAAGTGCAAGAAGCATTTAACTGCACGTGAGAAAGCTGTGCTACTCAGTGAGTTCTCACAATATCAACAACCTGAACAAATTGCAAATGCCACAAGTGTTTGTTTCACCTTAATGACTGCTGGTCTAGTTACAGGGATATCCACAGAGGACCTAGCTGATGAAACCTGTGCAAAACATACAAAGTGCTTTGAGGGGAGGTAGTGTGGTGCCCTTGCTGCAACAGGAACACTACAGCAGGAAATAAAACTGCTAAAAATAAAGTTAATTGCATGGACCACTCAGGCAGTCTCCTTAGGTGCTTACCAGAATCAGTGTGCAGGATTATTGTCGTCTGCTGTGTCCCACACAATCTTGCTGAATGAAAGGGAGATGGAGGACAAGATGTATCCTCCACTGAGGAGGAAGATGTATGTGATATATCAGTAGAAGTCACTGTGATCCGCACTGTTGTTCCTCCATTTGAGGCAACAAATGAAAAAGGAGGGACTCTATACCAACCTTGAGCAATCTCTTGTCCAGGTCCCAGAAGGCGACAAACTATGGCTCTTTGGAGATTTCAACACCAGAATCAGGAAGAACTTGAATCTCTGTAAGGTGTGATTGGCAAGGAATGAGTAAGGAAAGTAAACTCCAATGAGGTCCCCCTCATGACAAGGATATCTGGGGTCATGAAGTTATCTTTTATTCCTTCAAAGGA